GAGCTCCTGCCAGGTCCCAGTGCTCGGGCAGCGGGTGCTTCTGCAACAGCCGCATGTGACAGCACCCCGTCCCTCCCAGAGAGCTCCACCCATGGCCAAAATGCGCCCAGCTCTGGGGGAGGGCACACAGCCATGCGGGTAAGAACAGCAGGGCTGCAGCCACGTCTAGGCTGGACAGGCATGGAGGGGGCCTGGCAGCCCTGGGGCTTTCAATGACCCCAGGGCCAGGGCCTCAGGTTGGGCTGCACCCCACAGGCAGCAGAGCACCCCAGGGACACTGCAGCCCGGCCCCGCGGCACGGGGCAGCCACGGAGAGAAACGTCATTGTGGGGGCCAAGGACCAGCCCCAGCCCCCGCCACCCTCCCCAAGCAGCTGCAGCTGGGATGGGAGTCACTACTGCGCCCCCACGCCTCCCCCCCATGCCCCACGCCCAGGCAGTACCTGGGGATCGAGGTGCTGGAGCAGCTGCTCGATGGAGCCGTGCTGCCGCAGCAGACGCAGCGCCTTCTTGGGGCCCAGGCCCCGCACCTTCCCGCAGTAGTCGCAGCCCAGCAGGATGCACAGGTCCACGAACTGCCCCAGGGGCAGCGCGGGGTTAAGAGGACAGACACCCCCCCCCCCCCCCCCCCCCACCCACTCCATGCAGCGCCCCCAGCACAGAGAGTTGGTAAAGGAGCCTCGCACTGGCTCTGCTGTGCACGCGTCCCCTGTGCATGCATCTGTCTGTCTCCAGGATGCCGTTGTGTCCATGCAGCACCCAGCCCCGCATCCCCCAGCCCTGCATAGATTCATAGATATTAGGGTCAGAAGGGACCTCAATAGATCATCGAGTCTGACCCCCTGCATAGGCAGGAAAGAGGGCTGGGTCTAGATGGCCCCAGCTAGATGCATATCCAACCTCCTCTTGAAGACCCCCAGGGTAGGGGAGAGCACCACCTCCCTTGGGAGCCCGTTCCAGACCTTGGCCACTCGAACTGTGAAGAAGTTCTTCCTAATGTCCAGTCTAAATCTGCTCTCTGCTAGCTTGTGGCCATTATTTCTTGTAACCCCCGGGGGCGCCTTGGTGAATAAAACCTCACCAATTCCCTTCTGTGCCCCCGTGCATCCCCAGTGCTGCCCTGTACAAACCTGCTCGGGGGTCATGTCCAGCCGCTGCAGCACGTGGGGCAGGGAGATCTCCTCCACCTCGCTGCAAGAGCCAAGCAAAGCCCGACCCTCAGTCCCATGCCCAATTCCTCAAATCCCCCTCATCTGCACCATGGCCCCTGCCCACCCTGGCTCTCCCCTGCAGTCAGAGCCCCCTTCCAGCCTGGTCCTTCCCCCTGTACCCACCCTGGTGCTACCCTGGGCTCTGGTCCCCCCAGTCCCTCCCCACTCACCCACTGCCAGTGACGCGCAGATGCCGGAGCAGCCGGGGGCTCCCAAAGGCCAAGGCGTCCATGTCCTCCGTGGCTGTGGCCCAGACCAGGCCAGACTTAGCCAGGGCCGCACACGTGGCTTCTGCCTCCGATGGAGCCTGGCGCAGGTACAGAGCGTGGCATTGCCAACGCCAGCTCATGCCTGCACCCGGGACAGCCCTGCTGGTGGGCCATGGCCAGCAGAGCCCCC